TTGACAGTCTTCAATGTGTGTGTGTGTGTGTTTGTGAGTGTAGGTGTATGTGTGAGTGTGTTTGTGAGCGTGTGCGTGTGTGTGTGTGTGATATCAAACACATTAACTGGACTATTGTTTCAGTTAGGTGACGTAATTTCATATATAAGTACTATATCAATTTTGTGGTTTCTTATCAACGTTTGAGCGATATTCGGTACTTACTCCACTTCCCGTTTTCTCAACCACCTATGACTAAATTTGTCAAAGTACCGTTTAACTTAGGTGGACGAAATTTCACATATAAGTACTACACCGCATGTGCAGGTTCCTTTAGCTTTTGGATGATTTTCGTTAAACGGAATTCGTACTTTATTTGCCTGTGATCGCAATAACTTAAGAACTGTTTGGTTGACGAAACTTCATACATATGTATAAAAACCATATTACCTTGATTATTTCAAATATTAAGTGATTTCAAATGACCAGAAGTATTACTCTACGCTACTTCCGATTTCTCAAAATAAAACCTTGAGCGTTTGATAATTTAACATCACTTTTAGTGCACGATTTTTTTTCTACGCGATTCTATTAAATTCAAATTGTGTATAAAACATTTTATCCCCTAGTTGTTTTTTTTTTATAAAATCTGAAACGGAAGCATTCTACATTAATACCGCGCTAAGCCGCAGGTAAATAGAAGTACTTTGTTTCCATTTTAAAATATTTTGGCTCAGCTATGCAGGGTCCTCCCAAATTAACCCAGTATTACACCACTATTATATTCTCATACAAGAATTGCAGTTTCGTTACGAGTAACTAAAGACCCCCATTACCCTAGTTGAGGTTATTTAACACATGCATTATATTAAGCATACGTGGGTGGTTACATAAAGGAGGTTACATTCGGGTAGGGCTTAAGCATTGTAATGAAAAGTCTATAGGAAATTAGGTAGTATGTAGAATACACGCAAAAGAACTTTTTGTAGATAAAATTAAGAAAATAGGAAAAATATGGTTGAGTGTGGCCAGGGGCGTAGCGAGGGGGGGGGTGCGGACCGCACCGGGTGACACCATTTAGGGGGGTGAAACCAAGGCAAAAACTAGTAAAATATACAGAGAAAAACTTGAGGGGGGGTGCAAATCAAAAACTTGAGGGGGAGGGGTGCAAATCGAAAGTTTGAGGGGGAGTGCAAATCGAAAACTTTAGGGGGGGGGGGGTGCAAATCGAAAACTTGAGGGGGGGTGCAAATCGAAAACTTGAGGGGGGGGGTGCAAATCGAAAATTTGTCCCCGGGAAGGGTCGCTACGCCTCTGGGGGGTGACACCATTAAGCGCCGCACCGGGTTACACCCGACATCGCTACGCCACTGAGTGTGGCAGCTATCTTCTTTAATGTGTTTGGCGGTCTGCCTTACGGTGTGTGGTTGTGTGTGTGACGGTGTGTGGTGACATTTGTGTAGCTGTGTGTAAGACTGTAGGAGTGTGTGTGGCGGCTGCCTACGTAGACGTCTGCTAAGTGTGTGTGTGTGTGTGTGTGTATCACGGTATATTGCTAACTGTGGACTGTTAAAGGCAATTAGAATTACCACATTAAGTAAAATAACTCAGTATCGTATAGAAAGAATGATAATTAGGATTGATCGCAGTCTATCTTACCGTTTAAATAACAACATTTACTACCAACAGACTTAAATAAGTGTTCTACTGCCACGTGAACTTAGTGATAGATGATAATTATAATAATACTAATAATAATAATACTAATAATAATAATACTAATAATAATAATACTAATAATAATAATAATAATAATAATAATAATAATAATAATAATAATAATAATAATAATAATAATAATAATAATAATAATAATAATAATAATAATAATAATAATAATAATAATAATAATAATAATAATAATAATAATAATAATAATACTAATATTACTACTACTACTACTAATAATAATAATAATAAAATAATAATAACGAGCCGACCCGCGGCGTATCATACGCCGCTATTTAGTTGTTTTATTTTCTACTAATAATTTGTGAATTCGACAGTACCAATGCTGCCACTGAAAATAGTTGCTTTAAAACACTAACCCCCCCCCCCCTTTCCCCTAACCCCGACCCTACACCCCCCCCCCCCCCGTGAAAGCAGCCTCCTCTTAGTTACCTCCTGTAAGTTTAAAATCGTTTCAAACTAAATTATCTGCCCCTAATAGCCGTCACTAAACCCGGCTCTACGATTTGTAAACACAGCGTGACCACAGCTCACCAGACCATGTGGAGGTGGGGTGGGGGTGGTAGTGATAGTGATAGAGAGAAAGAGAGGGGACTGCAAGGATGAGCTTGCAGCTTGTTTTCTAGCGTCTCCCAGAAGAGAATTATATATATAGATAATAATAATATTAATAGTTTTTATTCTTGAGACACTTTACTGTGACGAAGGTTCGAGGGCTATTCAACACACGACATTACGGCCTTAAAAATTGTAATCTTAAATTTATTATTTAGTCTGATGACTATTACTCTTATCAAGGGTTTATGGCAGTTAATTAATTAATTAATTAATATATCAGCAATATTAAAATTAATAACAAAGACCCAAAAATGGTCCATGTAAATTTATTAATTTAAATTAGCTTAATGACTCATCATTCCCCCCCCCCCCCTTTTTTTTTGTTTTGTTTTGTCCAAGACACACATTTTTGTCGGTTTCTGGCAATTTCCTTGGCAGTATTTTAATGACTGCAAGTTAGAAACAATTGTACAAACGGATACATTTTAATACAAAACCTGAGCGCAAGCGAGTTGGGGTCCCTTGACCGTCGTCTTGAGAAGCCCGAACTGAGACGAAAAACTCTACGAGCTAAAAGGCACACTAGTGAGAGAGCGAATCTCAGCGGCACCTGTCTTTTATACCAGTATGGAGGGACCGGTGTATCAAAATTATGCTTCATAAACGACAATCTATGTATCAATAAACTTTAGTTATTACAATTATCTATATGCCGACTAATGTCTCTGTTTATCTCTGATTTATTAACATACATTTTTCGAAACGGAAGGAGGAATCGAGTATATTCATAAGCTAAATATTAAAAATGTTATATTCACCGCATTATAATTTAAAGTATGTATATCCTAAAATGTAAATAAAATAGAATACTTTTCTAATTAAAAAAAAAGAAATTGCTGAATTAAATACATTAGATAAAACAAAGTGCACTGTCTTTATATATATATATATCAAAAACTAGTTACTAAATTTAAAAGTATTCGGTTTATAACTATTAAAGTTAAAGTTAAGGTTGTAGTAATATTCAGGAAATCATAAAAACCTTAATTCCGTTCAGCAAAATAATGCTAAGAATTGGATCTTAACAATAATTATAATTTAGAAAATCTAGTGATCAAGAAGTTACACACTTAAATGAAAGTTAACAAAACAAGTGAAGTTATTAAAACTACGCACTGAAAATGAATAGAATGGAAACATACTAAATATATTTTTAAAAAGTTTCACTTGCCAATGGGAACAACCGAGAATGGCGTCGAGATTATTAGAAAGGCCCATTAAATTTTTTTTTAATAATGTACAATGTTTGAAATACATATAGTTATAGAAATCTGACTGTTTTATTTCTTTAAGGACTTAAAGATTGGATGTAATTTATCTTTTTAGGTAACTAAGCACATGTCATTTTTTAATTGAAAACAAAAAAAAATGGCTAAACTTTAAAAATTGTATTGGCAAAGTTTTGAATACAAATTACTGTGAGCTTTTTTTTTATGAAGCGGTGTTTTCAGAATATCGATCACGGAGTTCCTGTAGAGCCAATCAATAAATGTTTCTACGACAGAGAAACTTCAGGTTATAATTTTGGCTTGATGAAAATAGAAATCTAGCTCTAAACACAAAAATTGTTTTCAAGTTCCCTATAACATTGATTCTAAAAATATAAAATTTCTTAATAATTTTCAGGCTTAAATTTTTTTTAAATTGTTTCTACGGTTGCTTTGATTCCAATATCTAAAAACAACACGATTTTTTTATCCAGGTCAGCAATAATGATATAATTCTCGTCAACTCGGCCATGTCCACTTTGAAATATAATTGAGTTAATTACTTAAACTCATTGTTTGAGGGCAATCCATCCTGATTTTATTTATAGAAACCGACTTTGATAGCGACGTTGTAATTTTTTTTAAAGCCGTTGGTGATCATTTATAAGTCTACATTTATTAAGCCTCCTGTTTATTATAAAAGAATCTAACGCGAGACATCAAACATATTTGGAAATTAATTGGAGGTTTATTGTTTTTTTTATACAATAAACATCTGTGCATTCAAATAATAGTTATTAATCTACCCATATATAACCTCTGACTATCTGGTGAATCTATAAACTGTTAGTAAACAAAGAATTAAACGAACAGAAACGAAGCAAGAAAAATATTGTATAATAATGAATGAAATTTTTTATGATATATGTCTCTTATAGTGTGCGGCTTATTCTAGCTATAGAACGCTGGCTTATAAACCTGAATGTGTGAATTAGGTACATTGTATGAGGCTGTATGTTTTCCACTGACGAACACGATGCGTTATAAAGGACAAGAAAATCCTGGTGAAAAAAACAGATGCTAAATAAATATATAAACTGAAATGGTAATGAGCTAACCAGATGAAATATTACTTTCTTGTTTTTAGTTTAAAAAATATTCAAACGTTGGTGACTTTCTGTGAAAGCTGTGAAAGTTAGAATTAATAATTTCATTGACATCTAAAATACTATTATAATAGACTCACCAAATAAAATAGTAACAAGAACAACTATATAAACAAAACTATGACCAAGTTTATTATGGAAATATCAAAATAGTATTTTTCTTGACTTTCTCTGCTTTCAAAAATGTTTATAAAATTAATTCTTAGAATATAAAATTTCGGAATTTCTTTTAGGTTTAGGTTTTTACAAGCTTTTATTTAACTCACTTCCTCTGCCATCAGTCTGTAGTCAGTCTAGATTGAAACGGCAGAGCGAAATTTTACGGACATTTCTAACCAACAGATTTGTTTCAACGTTGGCAGGTTGGTCAAGACGTGAAAACAATGCAACATGACATTAAATTTGACTTAACTGGTTGCCTAATTTATTTTTTTAATTAATGTTTTTTAATTAATTAAAATTGTGTCCAAGTTAGCCTGTCTCATCAAACTATTCCGCACTTTTAGACATCTTTCATCACGTTCATTAGGTGCGCAATGGTTTTTAGTCATGCAACTCATTGTAAATTAAAAATTTAAAAGTACTGAAAAAAAATTCATAAAAAAAACCGCTTTAATAACAAGCTTTTATGTAATAATGCACTAAAAAGTCGAAAATAAATTATACACTACTATTTAAATTACTATAAAGAAAAGCGTGGTACCACTTAAGTATCTATTGGATACCTTTACTAATATTTAGGAAGAGGCCCACACTTTTCGTTATAGTAATTTAAATAGTAGTGTATAATTTATTTTATACTTTTTAGTGCATTATTACTTAAAAGATTGTTATTAAAACTTTTTTTTATTAATTATTTTTCAATACTTTAAATGTTTGTTAAAAGCTTGTTATTAAAACGTAGTTTATGAATGTTTAAAAAGTTATTTGTGTTTACTGTTGCTATGAATGCGAAATCAACAAAAAGAAACATGTCAGCAACAATGATCATTAAACTCTGCGAGATTCATTAATCTCCACATGCTTACTAATCGATCATAACACAGTGCTGAATAAACCCTACACACTACTAATTAAACAACAGACACAAAAATCACCAATTAACAGTTGTTTGTCTTAAATAAAACATGGACTCAGCAAAACACATTCTGAAAAAAAACTGATTTTTTTTTATTTAGTAGATAACCTTAATCTAACATAAACTCGTCGCCGGTTCCTGCCAAACCATAAACAACTACCAGAAATCCATATACGCACCGCTTTTGACACCCAACCGTTCAATAGTGTCCTTGGTTACAATCCGTCTACACGCACGATCCCGCTGCTTTGATTGGTCGAGCTGACTGTGCATTCATCTTGTCTTTTTTATGCAGGTTGAAACTAAGGCGGACGTCTGGGATCTCTAGATTTGGAGTTGTTATAAAACTGGTAATATGTTCATCATTTCATATTCGTTTTTATTGTTTCGGTTGAGTGGTTTTAAAAGAGGCTGATAGCTTTAAACATTAAGATTTTTCTTAGGTCTGCGGGAATGATGATTCAAAATAAAAATAAAAACAGTTAGGTATTTGTTTTGTAGAACTAGATTTTTTGTGATCCTGAAAGTTTTACGTTGCTGAGTGTCCAAGAAACTGTCCTAAAAATGTAACTCTGTTCCCCTCTCCTTTATACGCCTCTGATGTTTCAACATTTTTTATATTTATGTGACTCAATCTGTTTCATGGATAAACTTACAACTATGTTTACGTTTACTCCGATTAATAATGTCAGTGTGTTGTGTGTTGTTTTTGGTTTAATTTATATTTTTTTGCCTAGGTATATATTAACTGTATGTTTGTTTATCAATATTTTAAAAGACACTGGACAAAGTAAATAGCATATAACGTTATTTCTTGCATTTTAGCACACCTATGGCGTATATATTTAATGTGAAGTATCCTGATGTATGAATTATAAAATAATTAAATATATACCTCAAGTTTGCAAGTGCAAATACCTTCCAGATGTCGAATATAAATAACATCTTTTAAAAAGCGCACTTAGAGTTGCATGCAATTGCAATATTTAAAATGTCTTCAGTTCAGGACTAATCAAATAAAACATCTAACGACAATTCTAAATCCTTGCAATTTTACCTGCAGTTGAGAGAAAACAAAATATGGTATAGATGTCGTGAAAAACATAAAGTAATGAATACAAAAACAAAAGCAGATATTATCAGTAGAACACTCCTACTACACAATATAATATCTGCCGGGATTTTCCGATAGTAGAAACGTACCAATCTTAACTTTCATTTTTCGATAAGCATCACGTAGGTTTGGGGAAGGGGAGGGGATGTTGCGTTGCAAATTAAACCAATAAATCACACCTTTCTACATTTTAATTAATATACCTATATTGACACATCGCATAAAATAGGGAATGGGAGGTCACATCATATGGGCACTGGCTAATTATGCAGATAATTAAAATGTGTCACCTACTTAGACTAATAACTATTACCACCTGCCGAAAAATTTATAATTGTAGAGAAAGAATACTTTTTTAGCGATGTGATTTGTTTAACTGGTTAACTAGCAGACCGGCTAACAATCATGAAAGTTGATATGAAAACACGTTGACACATTAAATTTTTAAAAAGTTTCTTTTGAGCTTTATTTAAAAAAAAAATGATTACAGCTACTTGCATCGTTATGTATAGTTATAACATTTTCGCCAGGGAGAGAGGCCAACACCTTTTGAATAGTTTTAAATGTTCAAAAATAAAACATTGCTGAGCTGATTTTAAATACTCAAATGAATGGTGTCAAACGGTATCGAACGTTCAGTTTTATGTACCGTGTATTGAGAAAAATAACATCGCATTCTTTGGGGCTCCACACTTTCGAAATATTTTTCCCGCAGCAACCTCCCTAGAGTATACAACTTCTCAGCTATGGCGATCGGATGAAAGGTAGAGTTATGCATAAAGGCCAGTCAAGTAGACAAACATACGTGTATATACTTATATATATATATATATATATATATATATATATATATATATATATATATATATATATATATATATATATATATATATATATGTATATATATATATATGTATATGTATATATATATGTATATATATATATATATATATATATATATATATATATATATATATATATATATATATATATATATATATATATATATATATATATATATATATATATATATATATATATGTTAATATGAATGCAATCAGAACTAACGTTTTTTTTAATAATGTACAACACAAAACTATTTTTGTTTTAAACGTAATTTTTTTTATTAATATCATAACTGATCAACTTCGTCCAACCCATTGTCTAACACTAATACCAACCCGTAGAGTAAAATTTACATTGTAATCTAAACTAATACCAACCCGTAGAGTAAAATTTACATTGTAATCTAAACTAATCCAAAATAAGCAAACATCGTATCTAAACTAAGCAAACATAAATAAATTTAAACTGAATTCAAAGATTAATTTAAGTCACTCCCATAATTTACTATTCCTCAACACTATATTATATTGATAGGGCTGTATTTGATTGTTTTGAGCAATACAACACTCGTATTTAAATGTAACGCCTCAAATCATTAAAGATAGCCATAAACAATAGTAACACAAACCCCCAAACCCATTTCGAAAAGAAAAACGTAAACGTTATATAACATCATAATTAATTTCTCTTATCAAATCTTTCTGAAGTACTATTTATAGTGTCATAATAAATCAACACTGACAACCCAGCCATTAATTAGCTAATAAAATAGCTTTATCTGTGTATAACGTTAGAAAATATATATATATATATATATATATATATTTAAAACATATGTTTATTTTAGTAACTTAATCTAATACTTTAAGATCTTCTGTCGAAATTTTTTTAGAATTATAACTTCTGAAGTAGGAAATACAAAGTCTTTGTAAAGAGATTGATTTACACTGTGTTATATTGGTCCAGAACTTTGTACCAAAGATCAAATATGACGGCTATACATAGCCAGACCGGATGGCCACTGCAAATATTTGATAACTTGAATACAATTTAAATTTAATGAAATTTGGCCATAAAATGCGCTTAAACACCCCCTCACATTTATTGCTCAAGTGTGGTAAAAAAAAGGATAAAATCAGTACATGCGTTTAGATTTCTAGAGTGTGTATAGTCGGCACAACATTTAAGTTTTATATAATTGACTAGAAGCATATACCTAACGCTGCCCAAGGTGTATTGAACATTAAAAAATGTCATTCCGGTCGAAATGTCTTTAATTGAAAATGAATGCATAACATATATTGATTAGCCCCACAACGTATGCATTTAACAAAATGTAACCACATGTCAACGTACCACCAAACTATGCCTAAGGTTAAAATTCAACCTTAAAAGTAATTTATCACATACCTTCTGAAACTAAGACTCGCATATTTCGAACCACATACGTAAACACCAACCCATATTTTAAAACTAATACCTTGTGATCAAAATGAATTAAATGAATGCAATATTTGAGTTAACTTCAACCAACCCATAATTTGAAACAATTCTAATCGGACATCCCCACGAAATCGAATATACCTTAACTGAAATGAAAAAGACTGAAATAACTAAACTTAAAGCCAATTTTTTTTTCAGATTCACAAAGTACTACCAATCATTATTTATTAATGTTGTATAAGTCAACTTTGGTGAGCAGTATAACGTGTAGCATACTGACAATAGGTCGTCGTTACATTATACCACTCTTCTTTGACCAAATGTGTATGTTATTTATATTTTTAAAATGATAACCCGGCGTTTAGAAAATGACTAGTTATGCCATAGAGCGATTGTCATAGGCTGAAAGAAAACAAAATGAATATGATGTCCTACTTTTTACTTTCTCGTATATACGAAGTATAGAGAAAGTCTTGTAATCGTGCAAAAAAAAAAAAATCGAGATTTTTGCAAATCTCGACGTTTTGCATCTCACTGATACGGAAAAACATAATTTTGCAATCTTGTCCGTATGTCTGTGTGTCTGTGTGTGTGTCTGTGTGTGTGTGTGTCCGTGTGTAAACACGATAACTTGAGTACCGTTACAGCTAGGTTGATGAAATTTCATATATAAGTATTTTATCAAAATCGTAGATCCGTATCAACTTTTGAGCGATTTCTGACAACCGGAAGTGGTACTTTTTCTACTTTGAATTTTTCAAAAGCCTATAACTTGAGTACTATTTCAGATAGATAAATTAAATTTCACATGTAAGTAAAAGATCTAATTCTCTACCTTCTGTTAAATTTTGAGTAATTTCCGTTGACCGGAAGTAGTAATTTACGCTACTTCCGATTTCTCAAAAAACTAATGTAAATTTTTAAAGTAATAATAATATTGCGCACTATTATGCGCTTTTTTATTTCGCGTTCACTTGGTGTGCAATTAATTTGTCTACGAGATTTTATTCTATTTTTAAAACTTTAAGTATTTAAAATGGATTAAAAATCATGTCTATAGCCCGAGTTCCCATCCCCTGTTATTTTATATAAGAATATTCGAGAAAGTTTAGGGGAGATCACTCCCGGTTTATTTGCAGACATGACTAAAATTGGTTTTTCAAGTTTAGTGGTTTCCCATGTTATATTAGTAAAAGGATACAGAAAATACATTTAAATGTCTCTATCAATGTTACTTTATCCAGAGACCACCAACCAATATTGTACGCCATTTTGGAACTGCTCTCCCCACCCCACCCTGCCCCCACACCCCTGCCTACACACCCACACACACATGTACGCACAAAAAAAGAAAGGTTAATAGCTAATTTGGTAACCCTTGTATGCCATCCAGGCCTACTTTTTAAAATCCCGAACGTGTTTTTTTTTTTCATTTTAGTAGCAGGGTTGCACAATCATTACGATCACGCTAAGTGTTGACGGGGTGGGGGAGTAGGGTAGGGGTGGGACAAATAATACTTGTGGAAAAGTGGGCACTGGGGGGGGGGGGTGGGGTTGGGCGGGGTGTCAGAAGAATGTGGACTTTCACGCATAAAAATTAGCCAAGATTATTTTTTGGGTTCAAGAAGAAAGTTGATGTTGTGCATTTGCCACTTTTGGACAATGACAGTTCGGGCATTTTGCGCTTTCGGTGTCTAATCCGGCTTTCTTTCCCATTCGTGTAAATATCCATTCGATTTTGCCTTACAAAAAAGAGAGTCAGAGTAAACTTTTCTTTTATATTACGTTTGTAATCTGAAAGTTAAAAACTATTTAAAATGCTTGGTATGTGCTAATTTTGTAACGTTGGTTTAAAAAAAATCTTACTGAACTTATTTAGCTGAAGATTTTTTTTTTTTTTTTTTTTTACATTTAGGCTGCTCGGGAGAAATAATTTAAAAAAAACAACATTAAATGTCGTGGCCCTGTCAGTCAACGCTTCTATAACATTTTACTTTTCTCCTCAGAAATCTCCAGGTTCGAGATGCGTCGAGTCTTGATAAAACAAAAAGCTCAAAAAGCTGTGCTTCTATTCGCACTTTTTGTTTTAACCCTCTTTGCCTTCAGTTTTGAATGGTTGGTACCTTTCTCTAATTTACTTTAATCTAACGTTGTTGTTTTTTGTAGGTATATATATATATATATATATATATATATATATATATATATATATATATATATATATATATATATATATATATATATATATATATATATATATATATATATATATATATATATATATATATATATATTTAAGCTACCAGAGGAAAAAAAGGAAAAAAAATAGCAACACCAATATAAAACTTAAATTGACAGCCTTTATAGTTTTATTGTAAGGAGCAAAAGATACGGAGAACAACTACATCAAATACAGGTAATTTAAACACATAACTCGAATAAAAAATATGGATACAGTAGCTTAATATTATATACTAGATAAATTGCCCGTTGAATGAGAAATACAACTGGCGCAAGGTTGAAATTTACAAGTGTTGTCTTTTTCTCTTAACCGAAACTAAAACTAAAATCCCCACCTTAATCTCAAATGTAACCGTAAGCCAGAATTGTCATTTAAACAGGATCCGCAAATTTAGCCGGATACAGAAATTCAGGCACAAATGGGAGATATTTAAAAATGAATCTTTGTCCATAACGGAAATTTCTTTGAAAACGAAACTTTATCCGGAATCGGCCCTTTTACCTGATCTGTAAATTTAGCCGAATATGGAAATATAGAACCTTAACATATACATAAATTTAATGGAAACGGAATTATAGTTATTTAAATAGTGGTGTATTATGATATTTATAAAGAAAACATTTGTTTCTCCCCTTTAGCGCATCAAATTAACAGCAACAATTTATGTATAATAAAACGGACAATTAGCGCTTCATAAACAAAACATTTACTAATTTTTAGAAAGTTAATTAAAAATCTATTAGAGCCAAATTTTATGCCACAAGGGATTGTTATCGAGTCTAAACTTACGTAAAAAGTTTTGAAGAAATCGGCCCGGTTGTAATTATCTTTTTCCAATTATCAGTAAAAAAATACTTCCGCTCACTGGAAATCACTCAAAAATGTGAGAATCAAAAGAATAACGTCATTTGCATATGTAAAAAAATGTGTCCACACAGACACAGACATACAGACAAAATTACAAAACTCATGGACGCGCTAATCATCGAGATTTGATTAAATCTCGATTTCGTTACTTTACACTTCTACAATACATTATATATACTTTGCGTAAGAGCAAGTAAAAACATAATTTGTAGATGTTTAGACTACGCTTAGAAACAATTAACTTTAATTTTATTTTTACAGGGAATAACTTTACATTAAACATTTTTTCTCAATTATTCAAATTTAACTCTTTTTTTTCAAAATATTTCGAGCAGGCTACCGATATTGAATTCTATCCAGCCAAGTTTCACACAAAACCAATTTCTCGCCCATGGTGATTTGGATATTTTTTACGTCCAGGCCTCTGTCCCTGAGTTCTGGAGTGATCACCCTTTAGACATTTATGAAGCTTTCGCCCAACATTCCTTCAAGACTCTGGACACATGTAACAACGTTTGTCCTCGTGGTGCACCAGTGTGCACAGCTAAAACAAACCAAGAGTTTAGAGACCTCATACAGGAAGATTTGATACAACAAAAGCCTTTTCTCGACAGAGGGCAGTATGTTTACAGCTGGGTGAAAAATTATTTGAGTTACCCGCCCCTGATTGACACCAAGACGCTGCCTAGTCTGACGTTGTCAAGGATGACGGTGAAGAACGTCACACAGGGCGTGGTGACGTGTCACATGTTCGAGACGATACAGGGTCGGCTGGATGTCGTGAATGGATACGGACGTCAAAGAACTAAGGGAGACGATGTAGTCAGGGTTTGGATGAAGGGAGATAACAGCACAAAGGGTGATAATAGCACAGACTATGCATCTGTTGGTGACGTCTTAGATCTGGGCAATGGAAGCTATCTGTTTTCATTCAAGTGTTTATGGCCTGGATTTTCCTCTGTAAATATGCTTTTTTTTTATTAAAAAAAACTAAACGCACTATTTACCACTCTTTCACTTCTGCTTCTTTCCTTTCTTTGGGAGAAATGGCAGTGTTGGCACCTGGTTTGTGGTTATCTATTTTTAACTCCTGCCATGAAAATCAGGTTTCTCATTCCATATCTTAAAAGATGTCCAACTTTTTGAACGATCTGCTACATAATACGTATGGCCCACACCTCTTCGTCATTCTATGTTTATTACACCAATCCACTTGCCCAACTGTGTTACTGTTGGTTTTGCATCAAGAGTGTTTATCAAATTGTTTTGGTCGAGTTTATTTGCAATATGTCGTTTTGGAAAACTAGAGCTTACTAATATTTTGTTGAACATCCATGTTCGGAATTTTTTAAAACCACTTTATCTCCTGATGGGTGAAATATCACGGCCGGTATACGCCTGTTTTCCCTATAGGGCTGGTAAGTAGGTCACCAACCAGTTCTACGACTCAATAAAACCTGCATGAACTATAGAACTGGTTGATGACCTACTTACCAGCCCTATAGCCATGTATGTTTGAGCAGATCTCTGGTAACCTTTATGGTAACTGTGTAGTCTCAACAGAAACCCAGAACAATACTTCGAACATTACGTGAGATCTATATCTATGCCAGCTACTCTCTGCAATATGTACAGGTGTGCTCTCAATATCATCCGAATAACGTTTCAGTATGTTTTCAGTGCAGTTTCAGCGCAGTTGCGATTGTGTGTGCTAAGGCCCCACTAGGATCTCGCTTACCTCTCATTATGTCTTCGAATAGCTTGTTAAGATAATCTATAATTACAGAAGCTCGTGTTAAAAAAATCAAATGTATATTTTTAAAAATCATTTGTAAAAATATATACGATAAACGATGTTTAAACTTCCAGCTGAATGTTGCCGTGTCCTACCCACGGGAGTTCATTAGAATCGTCATCCACCAGATTCATGTCGGCGCCTCTATGTATATGTCAGGACGGTTCGTCAAGGGAAGTGTCGAAGAGGTAGCTTCATGTCTTCCCAATCTACCGGGATATTTAATTAACGTCTACATTAATTATTGTACATATAAAGATTCCTCTTTAGACCTAGAACATAGAACAGAAAGTAGAGTTCATATGTTTCTTTATCTCGGGATATGAAGGGATGGTGTGGTCAGCACTTTACCCAACCACTTTTACTCTTACGTATCATGAGTAAGGTACCCATTACAGCTGGGTAGATATCAGGGACCTGATTAGTCTGTTAGACAGAAGTTCTTAATTTCAGATCTGGGTTTGGACTCGTGGCTGTAGGACGTCACAGAGTCCAAACTGCTCTGATTGGTGCTTGACTCACTTAAGTGAAAATTGCCGAGGCTGCACCATAATGCTAATTGCACCCAGGTGAAAAAAAGTATGATGGCTAATCATCTGCACAAGGAACGGTCATGTCATGTCTCGATGGAAACTTTGTATGCAAATAACAATTTTAAATTGAATAAAGGAAAGTAAACATTGAAATTTTTATTTTCAACAAAGAATGAAGAAAGCATTAGCTATCTTCGAAAGTTCATGTCAAATGTGGAGATATTTTAGAAATGTATGCTTATATGTAGTTTTAGTCTATAGGTTGGTTTTATTATTAAATGTCAGTGTTTTAGTTCTAGTTTTGTTGAATGGTTACAATTAAAACTAGCTTTAATTTTTTCTCGTTAGTGTTAGGGCTTAGAATATGGAGAACGCAAAAGTTAGTATATATTTCGTTGTTCTACCAGGCTTTAGAGACAAGCTGAAGGCAGAATTTAATCAAGAATTAAGCGAATCGCTAAAGTTCATGAATATTTTAATTACTTGTAAATACAAATCCCAAAAAGTTTTTGCTTTTAATTGTTTCAACCAAGTCTACTAAGTTGATAAAGCAAAGAAGAGTGGAGTTCACTTTGCAAACTTTTCTGTGATAAAAAAAAACTATAACAGCCATAAAATTTCTAACCGTGTGCAGCCAATGCAAAAAGTTATAAATCATAAATTTACACACGCGTCGATCCCCATTAAACTCGCCTATTCAGCAATACCAAGAACTGGCCACCATTTGCTTTTCGTAAATTCAAAGAAACCAAGACCGGCCGATCTGAACGTATTCTTTGTCATAAATTAGTTCAAATAAGGCAGTTAAAAAAGAGGCCGTAGCGGTTTTTTTTATTTTTATTACGCCAGCCTTTTTGATATTACGAAGCAGGAAGTTTCGGTATTGAAAACAAAATCTTCAGTTGAATAGTAAGCACTATGTGAATACATTTAACGTGCATTTTTATTGGTGCTTTACCAGCGCGGCCAAACCCCGTGTTGTTATTGTATCAACGTTCCGGGTGGTATGTCAAAAGGTATCCATAAAAAAGATTAACGATTTTTTTAAATTTTGTATTCAGCGTTTTTTTTTTTGGAAACGGTATGCCCCTTATATGTTCCTATGTGCTACTTCGCCGTTTTTTACGGATATGTGATTTTTTTTCCTTCAAACGTGTCTTTCAAATATTATGTATCCTTGAAATATTTTGTCCTTTATTTTAGTATGTGGTGTGTCCGTTCTTGTTCCCGGGTTGAAATAATGTTCTGGAGATAATGTAATTTGTGCTTCGTCTCTCATCAGGAAACAATATGTTTTAACACACCAAATATCCCGGGGTGGGAGTGTATTTGTAACTTCAGCACGTTGGGCTATGACAGTTTTTACTGTGGTAAACCCAGACACTCAAGGTAGGTCTGTGTTATTTCATGCTCAAACTTTGGCTTCATTATAATATTTATATAATGAATTGAAAATTTCATACACTAATATCAAAACATGACAAGAATGATTTTGCCATTTTTATATAAATCTTGGGCGTACAATCGAGTTAAAACAGTTTTATGAAGCAATCAATATAATAACCACCAGGCTCTCAGAATTTATTTTTTCATGCAGGTTATCATGTGATGACTGGGTGGACGGGGATAGGCTACAAAATCCTCCACCTCATGACGTCACAGCGGCTGAACTTGATTTTTTGAAAACAATAAGAGGGTATAGAACACGTGTATATACATTATATACATATATATATATATATATATATATATATATATATATATATATATATATATATATATATATATATACATATATATATATATATATATATATATATATATATATATATATATATATATATATATATATATTCAATTGTGTTTCTTAAAGTACCTTAACTCACCTTATAAATCTACTTAATTTATACAGTTTACAGTGTTTATAAACCTCGGACACCATCTGTTTCAACACTTTAAAATGTTTCTAATTATTGCTTTTTTATTTCAGTAAACCATCCCAGAAAATAGTGCGGCATCATATAAAGATATTCACGGAAAACAAAGGTATTTTAGTGCATTGTTGTAGTTTTACAACCGTCACGGAATCGAAACTTACAATTTTGGTTATAGTCAAATAAAATACATATTATAAAGAATTTGTTTCAGGAAATCTTCCTGATTTGCCACCTTGTAGAAAGTCCAACAAAAACGTCACGTGGGTCAACGTGAACCCCAAAGGTTTGTGGGCGCCAGGCAACATCTGGACGTCCCTGGTCTGCAAGACCGAAGACGTCATCACTTCGCGCTGGACACTCAACTGTCTCAGAGACACAAACGTCTGGATATTCGGGGATTCCAATGCCAGGCTCGCCTATTTCACCCTGAACTATCTAACACAGTGTATCAAAAGTGAAGGCGGGTGGCCGCTGAAAGGAAGGTGCTACGTTCCTGAATACAACATCACCATCAATCTCATTCCACACGAGCCACCGAGGTATTCGCTATTTAGGCGTTCAGACAACTTCACGGGAGTTCCCGATTTTATACAGACTCTACCCGCTAACGAGAAACATGTTCTAATCATCCATTACTATCTCCACTTTACCCCAGCTCATCTCAGCGTGTTGTCTCTGCGCATGCGCAAACTAAGGACCGCCTTGGAAAAATTGCTAGCGAAGAACCCGAATATTCTTGTTGGGTTGAGAGGACCCCATGTGGTTTCCTTGTATTACTCAAACCACGCCGTAGGGGGCGATCCCTTAGGACCCCAGTTCTTGGAGCTGATAAGGAAACGGTTCAGGGGTTTGGAGGACAAGGTCGTGTTTTTAGACATGTGGGAGATGTCCATTGGTATAGAGAACTTGGACTATCATCCTCCACAGTTCTTGAGCCGTGAGATGATCAAATTCTTTCTATCGTTCCAGTGCTAGAATTGGTTACGATTAGGTTTGAAACAGTAACTACTCAGTATTAGAACTTCGACTATCATTTGAACCGTGAGATTATCAAATTCTTTCTTTCTAGTGCTAATATTGATTACGATTAGGTTAGAAATAGGACCTACTCAGTATTACATGTGCATACATTATGTTTTAACAAGTATCCATGGGCATATTATTAACCAAAATATGAAATTTCATCGAAACGCTTTAATTATAAAATTTTTCATTCTTGGTTTTTAGAATTATTTTAGTGATTTATAGTGGACACCGTTTAAAAAATTACATAGATTCCATGAAAGCAAACAAAAATTGTTTAACTACCGGCGATAACATAATAATTTAATATAACAATGTGTAGATTGTTGTAGGCATTACTTACGATATGAGCACATTTGTATTTAAAACATATTTTAATAGTTTTGCTATCTTTCGGTAAGCATTGTTTCATAATTATTTATTTGTATTATTGACATTAAAATAAAATGTCCTGTCAATATAAATGGTAAACTGTTTGTTTGATTGAATTGATCTATGAAATGTAATGTAATTATAAGTATAATTAAATGTTGTTATTATATTTATTTTATTGTGGTCGAATAATCAGCTTGAAAGTTTTAGCCATGCTGGAATATTATGTCTCTTTCAATTTGTATGAAATACCAGCGTACCGCGTTGTTGCGATCTCATAACTTAAGTTTAAGGACTACTATGATAATATAAAATTGTTAGTTTGTGTATTTATAGACTTTTGACAAAATGTTATGTCCCACCTATCGCTGTCGTTGTTGTAACAACAGAAGCATGTTGCACCAGAAAATAAGACAGACCTACGATACACTTTAATCACCCTCGCACAAGGGCGAGGTAGAACACCCTTTGTCGACCGTCAGGACTGTCGCAGTGCTCTCGTGGGAGCCACTGCAGTGACCTCGAGCGCCGCCCTGTTTCTGTTTGGTAATAGATTGTTGTACACGAGAGTATGGCGCTCTTTAAAACAAATGTAGGTGACATAGAGCTCAAAGGGGTGCACTTCTGCCACATATGATCGACGCCAAATCAACTGTCCCCAGTTCTGGTAGTCGCAGGGAAACTTGTGTCGCACAACAGCACACTACCTCCAGTCAGTTTCTTTTACGCATCTATTTAGGGAACCCTACTCGGACGAAATAAAAAACATAACTTGTATACAAAATACCTACTTAAACAAGGCTGCAGGCCATCAGATTTTCAGTTTTGTTGTATCCCAGAAATGTTCATAGACAAAGGGAAATAATCGATGTATTTTTATTTCAAAATAATCCAAGCCTGATCCACATTAAATACGCCTGCTGTTTAGTCTTGTATTTAAATTAATATTGTTATCTCCCCTTTGATGATTGAATTCGTTCATCTTTTAATTAAATTTTAATGCCTAAGCTTATTTGTAATGAGATAAATGATAAATTACGCTGCATAAGAATTGGTTAAAATTTAGTTACAATATATGTCACAACCTCACAGACACTGTGAATAAAAAAAAACGAATAAAAAATCTTCAGTTTATAACATAAACATTAATTCCCCTGACAAGTGATCTTTTAAAAACCTGTTAAGTTATGAAATATTCCCTTATGGACTACAACTGTATCTGGAACGAGGTAACACAAAAAATATATTTATTTCGTTATTTAATTCCACTAGAAGCGTGTATTAATATATTTCGTTCTTTAATTCCTATTGTTAGATAACTTTACTTAAAACCTTTAAAATACATTTGTATTGTTATCTCCCCTGGGTAAACAGATGAGCCATCTACTTCAAAGAAAAGGGCACTTCTTTGTTGATTATTTTCCACTAAAGCCATATATATAACACTTCTTTTTTAATACAGGATATACACACATTTCGTCCAAACTATACATTTTTTTAAAAAAAGTTAAAATGCGTTTTATTTTTGTAATCTAATTATATTTTTTTAAAGGTGATGGTTTCTGTAAATTGATATTTTAAATAAAAGTATGAAATGTATATCCCAGCTACATTTTTTTTTCTTCTTTTTTGTTTCCATTTTAAAACTGATCCGTGAGTTTTAGATCTTTAGAATTATTGAACACTAGTTCAATAGTTAGAATTTTGTTTTATACCTTGAGTTTTAGATTTTTAGAATTATTGAACCTTAGTTCAATACAATTTTGTTTTATACCTCTATATGAATTTACCGACACAACCATAGGCGTAACCAAGATCGTCTCAAACTTTCGATTTGCACCCCCCTCATACTTTATATATATATATATATATATATATATATATATATATATATATATATATATATATATATATATATATATATATGTATATGTATATATATATATGTATATATATATATATATATATATATATATATATATATATATATATATATATATATATATATATATATATATATATATATATATATATATATATATATATATACATAACACCCCCCATATACCCCTCGGTATATATATATATATATATACCGAGGGGTATATGGGGGGGTTATGACCCCCCCCCCCCCCCCCAATCCCCCATGCCTACGCCACTGGACACAACACAGACACAGCGATAATTAAATTCGACACAATTTGCATACCAATCAAACAAAATAGTGCTAATTAAACCCTGCGAATAAAATATGGATCCCTGATCAACACAAAATTAAACAACATCTCTTGATATTTTCAAATATTTTTTTAGCTGACGCTATCACTAGTTATCACTGACTTCAACCAACCCGGATTCAATCTCGCGACATTCAGGCTTGCAGTGCAGCGCCCTACCTCTAGGTTACACTCTCCATGTTACGTTTACTGTCAAATTATCATTCAGTTGTTATAAGTAAATAGACGATTCAATATTGTCTATATCCACAATCCGTCTACACGTCAAAATCACAGTTTCGGATTAATCGACCTGAGGTCTTGTGATCTTATCTTCGTGCGCAAGCCTAAACCTAAGCGGAAGTCTTAGACCTAGTTTTGGAGTTTTTATCAAACAGGTAATAAGTTCGCCATTTTCATGTTTGTGTATTTTGAATGTAAGTTTTAAGAATTTTTTTCAAGTTTTCTGGGATGCTTTATAAAACAAACCATATAAAACTAATTCTATCAAAAGTAAGGTATTTTGTTTTAAACTGAGTTTATTTTGTAAAGCTTTATTTGTAGAGTTTCTTTTGTAGAGTTTCTTTTGTAGAGTTTCTTTTGTAGAGTTTCTTTTGTGAAGTTTGTATAAAGATTTTGTTATATAGAGTATCTTTTATAGAATCTTTATGATGCTAACACCAAGAAGGGATGAAGAAGCTGTCCTAAAAATAGCCAGCGTTCCTTCTAAAAACCCTGTCATCCCTCCCACCCCTTCCCACGACTTTAGTATTTAACAGATTTATTAATATTTAGGGGATTCATTTTGTTTTATGGCTAGACCTCCAATTTTATTGTTTTGTTTACAATTATTTTTAATACGTTGACCACGACTCGCTAATTATTTAGAAAATTCAAATGCTTTGTCCACTAGAAATACTGACTAATTAATAAGTGTGACCACTAGGTCAAAAATTTTGCCAATTTTAGAGGAAGAAATTTTTTTTTATCGATGAAGTTTGTATACTGATTACATAATGTAGTTACTTTATCCGCTATTATCAAGAGTGTTGCTACGACACCACACTAAACAATTTACGGTAAAAACATCTGGTTTTAATTGCATATACGATTTATCAAAGTTAATCATTAAGCACAGCCATAAAATATTTCGAAAAAGAGAGAAGGCTGGCACCGTTTAAGCAGTTTAAAATTTCAAAAAGAAAGCTATGTTTAGCTGATACGAAATAATAGTGGCCGGTGTTGGAATAACCAAATAAGAGGTCAAAACTGACCATAGGGTGTAATTCTTTATATAGAGCTGAAATGTTACAGAGTAAAATAATTAGAGTTTCGAAATAAAAGAATAGGTTCTTGTATGTAAAACCTGCGTTGAAATTTGTGCGTGTTATAGTGATATATATATATATATATATATATATATATATATATATATATATTAACATTGGCATATTATAGAATGATAGATCCATATAATTTTGTGTTTGAAATTTTGAGAATATTAGTAATTGGTATATTAACGATTAGGTTAGAGATTAAGCTTCTAAATTATGTATTAAACATTTTATCAGTGTATGACTTAACTAGGTTAAAAAATAAAAAGGTCCCAGTCAAAAATTTTCACAAAATAGACCTGTCAAATCCATTCCAGTTTTTGGAATAAACTTATCTCTTATCGTTTGAATAGCTCTGACTGTAGATTGAGTTCACACAGAACACCAACCCATCACTCCTAGCTTGAATGAATCACCCGCCTAAATGTAACTCTTCCAACCATACATTAAAACACTTGGTACTTTTATTTTTGACTGTCATTTTGCTTAACAGCGCCACATTTATACATTCTTTGAGCTCCCGCCGTTCACTTAGCTCCCGTATTGACAAACTAGGTTTGGTTTTGAGCTTAACTGTCGTCAGCTAATATGTCATTCTAATTACTGAAACTATCTAAAATAATGTACATTTATTTATTGCTTAATTTAGTGAATTAAAGGAGTACATTCACTCAAATGGATTAGGACCCTTCACCCCCCCCCCCCCCCCCGTACACACGTTCAGGGCTAATGTATGAGCCGATATTGGTTCCTATTATGCTATATGTAGTGACATAATCAGTTATGACAGTCTTTTAAATGTTAGCCAGATTTTTTATATTATTTTGTAACAATTACATGAATTCATCATTTTCTTTTGTTTGCCCTCAAGACACATTGGGCAGCCAAAAAAAAGTGTTCAACTTTCGCCAGTCTCGGCAACTTGATTGCAGTTTTATTTTAATGTTGGTCGCATTTCGAGCCCTTCATTGACACACCCCACCCTCACCCGCCTTTGATTTGCTCCGCTGAAGTCCTAGGGTGTGTCTATGGGGGGGGGGGGGGATATAAGACACTGAAAATCCACCCTTTCTGCTATACCTAAATTGTAGTTAAGAATCGTACAATGTACACACGTTAAGGATCATGTATAACTTATACAAAAAAACACATTTAAAAAATTAGGCCAACCTCTAGTCAAGTATTAAATAACCGAAATTTAACTTAGACAAACAACCCAGTAGGCTAACACTATTATACTACCATTTTAGAGACTCCACCCACCCCACCCCTCACACAATCCCGTGCACATAAAAACTAGAACAGGTCCTGCTTTTTTCGCAAACTCTAGGATTC